TAAAATATTTAATTCTATTAAGTTCTTATCTGTATTTTGATTCACATCCAAAGTTCTTTTGAAATTTTCTTTTTTTGGTAAATGCTGTTGGAGAAGATATTCCTTCATATGATTTTGGAATTTGAGAGAATAAATATTGCTCCATGGGCACTAGAGATGATAACCAGTCAGGCAATTTTTTTTTAAATAAATAAACCAGTTGTCTCAAATACTTGTTGAAATTAGGAAGGGTAAAATTGCAAAAAATTAATAATTGATTTTTATCTTGAATACCTGGAACTTGGACAACTGTATTCCATCTGAACCCATTTTGTTCTTGAAATCTATGGTTTTGGACGTTGTCATGAAATTGTTATTCCAAGAGCCTGAGAACCAGAGATATAAATCACAATCTGAGAAGAAGTCAAAGAGGGGGATGAAAAAGTACTTGAACATTTTCCATACACCTCATCAGGAACAAGTAAACATATTGGTAAAGTAAACTTATCTTCAAAATGTGCCCGCGGCCCTGTGACACAGGAAGCCTGCCAAATAACTAAAAATAGACTGCTTCAGAAGCGAAGGGCTGATTCCTACTTCAGCATTCATTTATTTGGAGAGCTTAGATGCATATTTCCTGAAAGGAATGGAAAAACTCTCTAGCTGCCAAATAACTTCTATCCTCAATTTCTCACAATTAGCTCCAATTTGCAAAACAAGAATGATAAGAGCAAGAGACTGTGTGTTGGGAATCAGAATAGAAAAACAAGAGCCCACCATAGCAAAGTTTCTGGAAAAGGGTTTTTTGTGAATACCCTTCAAGGTCCTTTGAAGCAAGTGATGGGAAACAGAGTGACTGGGAAGGTGACTTCCCCGAGAATGGCTTTATTTCTAGTGGGGAAACCGAAATGACTTCCATACTGAAGGCAATCCACTTGATTTATTTCCTGTGGTTTACAGAGAGAAGAGGCATACAGCAAAGTGCTCCCCACGAGTCAATCTACCAGAAGGATGAGCAGGGTGGAAAAAGCACTCGCTCTTAAAACCAGAAGAGGATGTCTTCTCAATTCTCAAAACCTTTAATTTCAGTCCTGTTTCTGCCACTTAACCAGAAATAAGATCTGAGGTGGGGTGAAGGGTTTGTTTTACATCTGGAGTCTTGAGAGCATAGGGATGGAGTGTCCAGGAGGAAGTAAGTTTAGATCAGTTGGAGCCAGGAAGGAGGGGAGCCTGGCATTTCACCTTAGAGCCGGAAGTCTGTTTAGGCAGGTGACTCACCAAAGTGCCCCTGTGCTCCTCAACTGGGAGTAAGAGAACTGGAGAGTGGTGAGCAGACAAGCCCAGGATCACTGTTCTCTTTTCCTCCAAGGATCGCAAGGTGGCCTGAAGGCTTGCCTCGGCCTCGCCAGCCTGGATGGGGGAGTTGCGGGCATCAGAGGATGCAACACAGATGAGGGGGACAGGAGGAGGGAGAGGTGGCCAAGGCCAGTGTGTAGGGCAGGGGCCTAGGAGGGAGCCCCAGTGTGGAGAGCTAGCATGGGAACCAGGAGCAAGACTGCCATTGAGGCCCAGTGGGCAAGACTGGCCTCCTTCCAGCCCCCGGAAAGGTGGGTCCCCACCCCCCTCGCCTCTTCCCACCCCTCCCACCCCCATGGTACCAGAGGAGCTGGCATGTCAAGAAGGAAGTGGGGACCTGTGTGAGAACGTGTTGCCCTTCTTGGGCGGAGAGACGGCCACCTCTTGCCGAGTGTGGGCAGAGGAGTGGAGATGACAGTTTAAATCGGACTGAGCGGTAGATGGGTGGTTTTGAAATCGCTTTCTTGCAGTAGGATATAAATACAGATAAGTGCACAAACCATGGTGCTTTTGACTCCAAACACCCCAGGTGAGTCTGGCCCCTTTTGTACTTTGTGGAGATGGAATCATGTGGCATATCCTCTTCTGTGTCTGGCTGCTTCATCAGCGTGACATTTTGAGAGATTGGTCCAGGCTGTGTGTATGGTGTGGGTCTTAGGGGCCTAATGAGTAAGAGAAAGTTACTAGAAATAGGATGAAATCGTGGTTAAGATGGCCTGCTTCCTAGCAGGAAAGGGGACATCAAAGTCTGCCTGGAGGCGAGTTTTAGATAAGGCCATTTCATGTTGCTATTCTTAAGTTAATATTGCTAGAATTATTCTCATAATAGCAAGTTGCCATTTAAATCTTGGTTTTAAGCAAATACTTAAAGAGTGCCTTCAGGTGACTCGGGTTGACTGGTTATTATTAGGACACAAGAATAACCAAGCCATGGCTGTGGGCTTGCCTTTTACATTGCCCAGGGCACTGAGTTGCCATCCATCGGGAAGACCACCCTGCTAAGCCCACTGCTTGTCCATCTCTGAGTGCGATGACATGGAGATGTAGTCAAAGAAAACCAAGGCTGACTATTGAGGATTCTTTGCATACATTATCTCATTATTCCCAGCTTATGCAAATGATCAGTGTCCAAAGAGATTTAAAAATCCACTCATCAGCTTAACTGACTCAAGAACAAGCGGAGATAAAAACATAACATTTTCAGGTTAAACTTTCGGTCTGTTTTTCTTATTAGAAAAAGCATTCTACATGTCAGGAGTATGCAATTCACCAGTGATTAGATAGATGAGATAGATAGATACACTTTTTATTTTGGAACTAAAGTGGTACAAATAATTCCCATTTCTCTTTGCTCAGCCTACATTCACATTTACCCAACTGTCCCGTTAATAATCCTTTATATAGATATATATCTGTAGAGAAATAGAGAACCAGATGGGTCACCAGATCCCACATTCAGCCCATAGATAGTTCTGTAAGCACTATCTTTTCATATATTGAAAATCACATTTTCATACCAGTTGCTCTAATTGTGCCAGTTTCAATACAACCCTGTAGAGCCCATTCTAGCAAAAGGATCCAATCCAGGCACCCATATTGTCTTTAGATGTTGTGTTCCATCAGCCTCCTTCAGTCTGGTTACAGGCCAATTATTTTTGAGACTGTCACTCATTTTGAGTTGGTTCTTGGTGTCCTCATAATTAGATAACAGGCTATGCATTTTGAGCAGGAATGTTCCAAGCGACGCTGTGTTCTTTTCACTGTGTTCCCTCCTGTGGTACGTGACATGGCTTGTCGCATTCCCTCAGATGGTATGCTGTGCCAACTGGTTCCATCACTTCTCAGGTTAACTTTGATCCCCCCAGGCAAGGTGGTGCCTACAATTTTGTTCAACTGTACATCTACCCTTGTTCCCTTGATAACTATTTAATTATTCTGTGGGGAGAACATTTGAGGTCGATTTTATGATTTCTCCTACGTGTCTTAAGTTGGTGTTCTACTATGAGGAAGAGCTTCCTCTTCTCCCTATTATATTTATATCAGTGAGGCCTTAGAGATTCCCATTTTTGCTTGGGTATAATCATGATTTATTTTCATGCTCAAATCGTCCTGTATTTGGCCAGTGGAATCCCCTTCAAGGCACCTTCTGTACTTTTTGACATTCCCAATCATTCATTGAACACTTGCTGACAAGATATTTGTAGCCCATCTTATATCTTTCCTGGCTTAGCTTTGAAATCAGCCATTTCTCCAAGGAGTCCTGGTTAGGTTTCCTCACAACACAGACAGTGCTAATCTATCTGTCTGTCGAGATACGTCTGTATATCTATCTATAGGTATAGATATATTGATATATCTGTAGAGAAATAGAGAATCAGATGGGTCACCAGATCCCACATTCAGCCCATAGATATTTCTGTAAGCACTATCTTTTCATATATTGAAAATCACATTTTCATACCAGTTGCTCTAATTGCTCCAATTTCAGTACAACCCTATAGAGCCCATTCTAGCTTTTTCCCTTTTCATAACCCAAAGGGTTAGAGAAAATAAAAATCTGGTGGGATTTTTTTCTTTGTCAAGGTTGCAGATATGGGAAAGGCTGAGTTCTTAGCACCATCAGGATCACCTGGAAAAGGGTGATAAGATAGACCCTCTGTGTTAAATGCAAACTGTATGACATGATTGACAGTGTACCAAGAACACAGCTATTTTTTGAAGAAAGGCCAAATTTTGCAAACTGGTATAGGTTTTCTTCCAAAAAAGATGATTACCTTTGGCATGTTTCATACAAGGTTGCTTCTCAAATGCACATTTAAGCAGGTTAGTCTTGTTTCTTGACAAGCAATTACAAGAAAATATATTTGTAAGGCAGTTCTGAGGTTGTTTCTTAGAGCCCTACCCTACTATGTGTACTTATTAATCATTTTCTTGAGCGCCTAACATCATGGATGTACTTTATCAGCCTGCTTAGAGACCAAAAAAAACCTGCTAAATACTAGATTACTGTTCCCCCAATTTACAGATCAGGAAATTGAAGCTCAAATGATTTTTGTAACTTGTGCATTTTGCCAGAGATAGTGGTTGAGGCAGGACTTGAATCTAGGCAGTGGGGCTCCACTGGCCCCGTGCTTATCCATCACATTCAAACTGCCCAGCATAAACTTTTGGAGAATTATGTCATCTGAACAACATTTTGCATAATGATAACAGATTGGCTTCATTACCAAAAGGAAAGAATTATCTAGGGGATTTCAAACAAAACCATTTTCCCTGATCCCTTAAGATTCTCCTTTCTGGCATTTAAGATATTGAGTCTTAGGGTTGAGGTGAAGGCGGGGCGGGAGGCAGGGGCAGAAGGAAAGTGGGAAAGTTCACGAACCACCTTTGCCCTTCACTTTGCCTATTCGGAGTTACTAGATTCAATCACTGAGCAGTATTTATTTGAATGAAATGTATTCCTTATGAAAACTGCCCCCAAAGCCAGAGAGATGGACTGTGCTCCCTGTCCACGCACAGCACCACACCCCTGTGTCACCTGAGAGCGGCTGACCGGAACACCTGATGCAGGTGCCAGCTCCCCACATCTTCCCTCAGACCTCCTCTCCTCACAGTAGGAGGAAGAGTTCTCCTGATCTTGACTCTGAGCTTGATGTGTATTTCAGATTGCTGGGCTGATCGGTCTCCACTTCATGAAGCGGCAGCTCAGGGGCGCCTACTGGCCCTGAAAACTTTAATTGCACAAGTAAGTAAATGAGAGACTCGATCCTTTGTGCTTGTGCTATAATCAGGCATTATTCTTAATCAGCTTTAAAAGTAGCAGGGATCTTGCTGGCCACATCTGGGTCCCAGCATGACCGTTCTAGATGTATGTGTCCTCTCCCAACTCACTGTTCCTCCTGCCTCTCCTTTCTTGGGGAACTGGCTGATTTTCTGCTCATTTCCATCCTTCCCCTTCTGGGTCTTTCTTTGCATCATAGAACGTTTCCCCCTGATGCTGTTGGAGGATGCAGCTCAAACTTTTGTTGCACTGACTCACCTTATTCTCTCCCATTGTGCCTTAATAATAGCAGCCTTGAAGTTGCATTTATCAGCTATTGCTCTGCAACAAAGTATCTTGAAACATAGTGGCTGAAAAGGACAAATGCTTAGACTCTCATGCTGTCTGTAGACCAAGAAGCAGCTTAGGCTGGGTGGATCTGGCTCCAAGTCTTTTGACTCCAAGTCTCTCAGAGCCAGAACCATGGCGGTTCAGGCTGCAGAGTGTCAGCCAGGGCTGCAGTCATCTCACAGCTTGATCAGGGGAAGGATCTGGTTCTAACCTCACTTATGAGGTTGTTGGCCACTTTCAATGCATTGACGCATGGGCCTCACCTTGGGACTGTGTCATGAAATGGTAGCTGGCTTCTTCCATAGACATCATGAGAGCCTCAGTACATAGCCTATAGCCTATCTCCAAAGTGACATCTGATTGCTTCTGCCACATTCTCTTCATTAACTGGGTGTCAGTAAATCCTGCCCACACCCAAGAGGAGCAGAGTATACAAGTGAGCTAATACCAGGAGGCAGGAGCCATCTTGATCACTGGGAGCCATCTTAGAGGCTCACTACCCCGATGATCTACTATTTCAAGAGCAAACATGAAATAGGTCAACAAGTGGGTAGATCTTACGCCTTAGGAAAGATTTATTCAAATCATAGTTACTAAGGCTACTTTATTTATGACTGTATCCCTAGCAGTGTGAATAGTAAGTATCTGTGAGATGGATGAAAGCATCCACAGTCCATTACTTTGTTTCAAGAGTCTATGTGTGTACAGATGAAGTAAGTCATTAGAGCTTTTTCCCCACATCTTGCTGCTGCTGCTGCTAAGTCGCTTCAGTCGTGTCCGACTCTGTGTGACCCCATAGACAGCAGCCCACCAGGCTCCCGCATCCCTGGGATTCTCCAGGCAAGAACAGTGGAGTGGGTTGCCATTTCCTTCTCCAGTGCATGAAAGTGAAAAGTGAAAGTGAAGTCGCTCAGTCGAGTCCGACCCGTAGCGACCCCATGGATTGCAGCCTACCAGACTCCTCCGTCCCTGGGGTTTTCCAGGCAAGAGTGCTGGAGTGGGGTGCCATTGCCTTCTCCATCCCCACATCCTAAGTACCACCAAAGCTGGCTTCCTTATTTTGAATTGAAACAGCTGGACACACTGTTCTTTTTCTCTGTGTGTATGTGCCTTTTTTTCCTTTCTCCCTTGAGCTGTGTTACTTCTTAAGAAAGTAGAGGCAAAAGGAAAACAGTACTGCCAGTTGAATGGACTTTGCACTTGATTTTATTAAGTACTTATAATTTATTTGGTTCGATTTTTTCCTTCCAGTTTTATTGAGATATAATTGGCCAAGAGCACTGTAATAAGTTTAAGGTGTACAGCATAATGATTTGACTTACACACATCATGGAATGATTACCACAGTAAGTTTAGTGAGCATCTGATGTCTCACATAGATCCCACGCTGAAAAAAATTTTTTCCCTTGTGATGAGAATTTTCAGTATTTACTCTCAACTTTCACATATAACACACAGCAATGTTCATTCTATTCATCATGTTGTACATTATATCCCTAGTACTTATACCTGGAAGTTTGTACCTTTTGACTCCCTCAATCCAGATCTCACCCCCACCCTCTCCTCTGGTAACCACAAATCTGATCTCTTTTTCTGTAAGTTCATTTGCTTTTGAAGTATAATTGACCTACAACACTATATTAGTTCCTCTTACACCACATAGTCATTTGCTCTTTCTGTATTTCAAAATATTTCAAATGTATTTTCAAATGTATGTTCAAAATATTCTGTATTTCAAAATAATTACCATGAGAGGTCTAGTTACCCTCTGTCACTAAAGATATCACAGAATTATTGACTATATTTCCCATACTGTACGTTTGATCCCCATGACTCATTTGTTTTGTAACAGAAGGTTGGTACCTCTTAATCTATGTCATCTATTTCTCTCCTCCTCCTCAGTCATTAAGCACTTAAAATGTTACTTGGTTGGAGTATTTTTAATATGTGACATGTTTACATAGCTTAAAAATTAAAATGATAGGAACCTCCCTGGTGGTCTGGTGGTTGAGACTCTGCACTGCCAGTGCATGGGGCATGGGTTCGATCCCTGGTTGGGGGCTGGAGTCATGCATGCCACACAGACGAAAAAAGAAAAGGAAAATTAAAATGACAGAAAAACATACACAGTGAAAAGTCTTGCATTCACTTCCTTCCTCCAGTCTCCCCACCTGAATATTTTTATTAGTTTTTTGTGCATGTGTGCTCAGTCACTCAGACTGATCCGACTCTGCGACCCCATGACCCTATGGACTGTAACCATCCTCTGTCCCTGGAATTCTCCAGGCAAGAATACTACTGGAGTGGGTTGCCATTTCCTACTCCAATTAGTCAATATACTTTTTCTTTTAGGACACTTTTAAAGAAGAGTTGCAAAGATAGTACACAGAGTTCCAGCATACCCTTCACCCAACTTTCCCTCCTGTTCATATTGTACGTAACCCTGGTAACTAGTCAAAAATAAGAAATGAACATTAGGAGAACACCACTAACTGAACTACAGACTACTGGGATGACACCAGTCTTCCCACTAAGCTCCCTTTTCTTTTCCAGGATCCAGTCCAGGCTATCACATTGCTTTTAGCACTTTATTTTTAACTGTACTTCAAAAGCATGTTGGTTACTATAGTATCCTTAAAAATGTAAAGAGCATTTTTCATGAATTTTTCAGCTTTTTCATAGCACACCCCCATTTATTTACCCTTACACACTGGTAAACATTGGATTATTCTCTTTTCTACTCTGTTTTACATACAGATAGTTTGATGTTCTATGAGCAAAACATTAAACCAAGGATCGGGAGCTTATGATGATCACACCGGCTGTCACTGACAGCTTGGGAACCTCAAATCTTATCAGTAATTTGAACTCTGCTCCTCTGTTTTCTCATGTGATTCACTGTAGCTCATCTTCCAGGCCCGTCCACTATTTCTTGTTGTTGTTCAATTGCTCAGTCATGTCCGACTCTTTGCAACCCCATGGACTGCAGCACACCTGGCTTCCCTCTCCATCACCAACTCAAGGAGCTTGCTCAAACTCATGTCCATCGAGTCAGTGCCATCCAACCATCTCATCCTGTGTCGTCCCCTTCTCCTGCCCTCAACCTCTCGCAGCATCAGAGTCTTTTCTGATGAGTCAGCTCTTCACATCAGGTGGCCAAAGTATTGGAGCTTCAGCATCAGTCCCTCCAATGAATATTCATGACTGATTTCCTTTAGGATTGACTGGTTTGATCTTGCTGTCTAAGGGACTCTCAAGAGTCTTCTCCAGCGTTGTATTTGGACAAGTCCAGGGATTCTGAGTTTGCACAGGATCAACGTTTTTTTCTTAGCACACTGCCGCCACCTTGTGGACATTTTTTGCCCAAGCTCCAGGGCTTGCGGAATTCTGGTTGCCTGACTAGGGATTGAACTGGGAGCAAGGTTGGAGGGGGCGCTCGGCAGTGAAAGCACGGAGTCCTAACCACTGGTCTGCCAGGAAATTTCTTGTGGACTACTTGTTAACATGCTGTAATTTTTATTTTCTTAAAATGAAAATATATATGGGAAAAGGAAAAGAAACCTCCTTGTGTTAGATATCCAATTGTAAATATACAGCACATCTCTAGAGTAATGACATCACATTCAGGACATAAACATAGACAGATCAGGGAGGCACAGTGGGCAGTCCCAGCTGCTGGCCGCTGGAGGGATGCAGCCAGCACCATGGAGGTCTGATAAGAGGGGTGGGAACAGATTGGGCTTTGGGGTTCAGGATCATGAACCTGGGGTTTTGGAGGGTTTCAATAGGTCGGTTACGAGGCAGGAAATCAAAAGCACAACTTGACTGGGTCCTGGCAGAACCTAAATGCTTTTGCAGACTAACAGTGGTGATCATAGGGAAGCAATAAGGGCTAAGTTGTTAGAATCAAGACATGGGGATTTCCCTGGCAGTCCAGTGGCTGACTCCGTACTTCCAATACAGGGAGCATGGGGCGCAGGTTCAGCCCCTGGTTGGGGAACTAAATTCCCACATGCCACAGTGCAGCCCGCCCCCCCCCCCTCCCCCGGCCAAAAAAAATAAAAATAGAATCAGGGCATGAAGTCAGCACTGGCTGGCAGCTTGGTTGAGCCTAGCATCTCACATGGACTCCAAGGGGAGGAAAGTGGAGCACAGCAGGATGGGGAGGGCAGATGTGCTAGGACTGGGCGTAGGTGTGGGGATCTAAGGAAGGAGATGAGTGTCAGTGGAGGTGTGACGGTCAGCATCACTGCTACTACGGCACGGGAATCCTGGGAGCACTGTCTGCTTTACTGACTACTCTTGAGCCTGAGCAGCATCCTTCTGTGCCAAATCCAGTTGTACCCCCCACCCTGGGACTCTGCCACCTGGATCAGAAAGAGTCCACACGTGACAGAGGCAGAGGAAGAAAGGGGAAGTGGGTAGACAAGGAAGACGAAGGAAGAAGTACGAGAAGGAAGAAGTATGAGATGAGGGGAAGAAGAAGGGAACCAGAAAGTCCTTGATTACCAAACAGGGTGCATGTCTTACAGGGAACAAGGTGCCTGTCAAGTCTGTTTAGCTGTGGAAGGTCTGCAGCCAATATGTGAATAGCAGTGTTCTGGCTGGGTTTCCCCACTTCACCCCACTCCACCACCATTTCTGTCTCCCCACTAAGCTCTTAGAGGAGAGAGATCCATGTTACAAGCTTTGAAGCTCCAAATGCTGGCACATCGCCCGGTCCAGAGTGCTGAATGAACTTTTGCTGAATCAGTGAATCAGAGGCTCCTAGCCATGTTTCAGTTTCCCTGGTCATGGCCTCTACTCCTCTCTAGATGGTATCTGCAATCTGTGAACACTTCACCAAAAGACCCACAACCTTGTTTTCACTCTTACTGCTTACACAGCCTTTAACCCACTTCTCTCCAAATTGTAGGGTGTCAATGTGAACCTGGTAACAATTAACCGGGTCTCTTCTCTCCATGAGGCGTGCCTTGGAGGACATGTGGCCTGCGCTAAGGCCTTACTGGAGAACGGTGCCCACGTGAGTAGCATCCCTGCCTGCAGGTTTGGTGCCCTGGGACAGCTCCTAATCCCTAAAGACCCGTCACCTTCCAGAATGTGCTTATCTGTGGTGGGGTGTGCAGGCCTGGCCCATCTGGGCTCATGTTCTTGGATGGTCAGGAAAATGCTGCTGGTATATTCCTTTCTTCAGCCTCTTTAGTAGTAGTAGTTTAGTTTCTAAGTTGTGTCCAACTCTTGCGACCCCACAGACTGTAACCTGTCAGGCTCCTCTGTCCATGGGATTCTCCAGGCAAGAATACTGGAGTAGGTTGCCATTTCCTTCTCCAGGGGATCTTTCTGACCCAGAAATTGACACTGGGTCTCCTGCATTGCAGGCAGATTCCTTACCGACTGAGCTACGGCCTCTATGTCCCTGTGCAAATGTTCAGATGAGGTAATTCACAGAACTCATTCAAAACTCATATTAACTTGGGCAAAAACAAACAAACAAACAAAAACAGCCTGAGTGAAAGTCATTTGAAAACTGATCTTGTAAAATTTATTTTAAAAATCTTTAAAAGAACACATTTTAAAAGAACAAAAGCCACTTTTAATTCAGCATTGTACACCCACAACGATTTTTATTGAGCAAAATTAGACTAAATGAGCTTGTAATAAACTAGTACCATGGAAAAACAGTACGAAGTGAACTTTAAAATTCTCTCCTTTTCAAGGAGTGACTGAGGGGCTGTATGTAGTACAGATATCAGAATAGAATTATGAATTTAATACTTGTGAAAATCTCAGTGACCTTTATTTAGTTACCGGATACTGATTTTTTAAAATTTTTATTAGAGGATATGATTTACAGTGTTGCATTCGCACCAGATATTGTTTTGATGTTAATTTCATTTTTAAACTCAGCCCTTGTATTCTTTTCTTTGTGAACTGTAATGTTTTTAAGTGCTTAATGAAGATATGTCTTTGCGTTTTATATGGAAGTTGGGTTTCTACTTGTAGAACTGAATGTAACAGTCGTCCTTAGGCAAAGTGATTTTCCTGATGCCACAGTGGTTGTGAATGTTCATTAGGTTGTGCTTCTTTGAGGGCAAGGTTGGGTGGGGGCCATTTCCTGTCAAGCTAGGTGACTGGAGTCACAGGTGGGAAATTGAGGAGCCTCTTGGAGGTTCTGTGGGGGACAAAGAAAGGAGAACAACATGGTCTCTTGTCTTTGGCAGTCTCATGAGGGAGCAGTCAGTAAATATTATCTTATTTAACATTCAGATCAGAATAAGAGAGGAATAAGAGAAACTTGATTTATCAATAGAAAATTCCTCAAAATTGTCAGTTCCACGGGTACCTCGAACTTGGTGCATCTGAAACTGTGCTTATCGTGATCTTCCCTCTAGGACCAGCTCCTCCTCTTGGATTTGCAGCCCCAAACCTGAAGTCATCTTCATTCTTCCATCTCTCCATCTGATTAATCACAACATCCCAGGAATCCCTAGAGTGTTATGAATTTACCTACACTTGTCCCTGTCCTTGTCTGTCTCTGCCATCTTAGTATTTTATTTAACTTTCCAATTCAGTGGGGGCTATCCTGGCACTGTGGGGAAATATCTTGTTTCTGAAACAAGATAATTGAGGATCCCATTGATCACAAGCATATATCCTTAGTTGTTGAGGCAAAATGGTTTGACATTCAACCCTCATTGTCCTATATTTCAGTCTTATCAGAGTCTCTGCACTGAATGCCTTGATTCCAGAATGTTCTTTCCAATCTGTTGCTAATACTCAAAGATACCTCCCAGCTGTGCTTGTTCTCACAGGCCTCTCAGATCCCTGGAAGGCACTGAGATTGGTTAAAGACATCATGTTTTTTTTTTAATTAGTTTATTTTAATTGGAGGCTAATTGCTTTACAATATTGTAGTGGTTTTTGCCATAATGCTCAAAATTCTCCAAGTCAGGCTTTAGCAGTACATGAACCGTGAACTTCCAGATGTCCAAGCTGGTTTTAGAAAAGGCAGAGGAACTAGAGATCAAATTTCCAACATCTGNTATTTCAAGTTTGGTAGCGTGCTGCCAAGCCCACGGAACTCAAAGATCAAGAAACAAAATGAGTCACATGACCACAGAGCAGCCACAGAACAAGCTGCATTTTCAAGGAAGCTAAGTCTCCTTAACAACAATAATGCCAGCACGGGGCTAAGGAGAAAACGCCTTGGAAAGTTCAGTAAATGCAAGGTGAGATCAGGATTCCCTGATCCTGTTTTACATGTCAAGTGGCTAATCACTAAGAAGAGATCTACTAATAGATTAGTAGATTCTGAGTCACAGTCTCACCATCAGTGAAAAGAGTAAGATGAAGATTGTTTTGGTCAACTTTCCAGTATTTAATCTTTTCTTTTAAACACTTTTACTTTTTAATTTCTTTTAATCTTGCTTTGTTCACTTTATTTATTTATTTTTTTACAGAATACTTAGTCTGGTTGAAACTATTATTATTATTCTTTTTTTATTGGAGGCTAATTACAATATTGTATTGCTTTTGCCATACATTGACATGAATCCGCCATGAGTGTACATGTGTTCCCCATCCTGAACCCCCCCTCCCACCTCCCTCCCCATCCCATCCCTCAGGGCCATCCCAGTGCACCAGCCTCGAGCACCCTGTCTCATGCATCAAACCTGGACTGGGGATCTGTTTCACATATGATAATATACATGTTTCAATGCTATTCTCTCAAATCATCCCACCCTCGTCTTCTCCCACAGAGTCCAAAAGACTGTTCTTTACATCTATGTAAAGACACCCATGTTGGTGGCTGTTTTCTTTGTGTATTTTGCCTGGTCACAATCTCTTCAGGAGTCGTTTTTAGCATATGCAATTTGTGTGGATTGTAATAGACCAGAAAGGAAATCTGTGGCAAGAAAGAACTATGGGGGAATCACTGAGGAGGTTTTTTTGTAAGCACAGATTCTGGGACCTTACGCTAGATGATTTCTGTTGTACTTTTTGTTCCTGACATGTTTGTTCATGATTTGGAGGGGGAGTCGGCTCCATATGAATGGAAAGTGGAGATAATTGTTGTTGTAAATGTTTATTGAATGCTTACTGGGCACCAGGCAATGTTCTTGGGCACCAGGCAATGTTCTAGGTGTTTCCCATATAGGAACTGAGCTGATCCACCCAGTAACCTCATGAGGTCAATTATTTTATGGTCCTCATTTTACAAGTAAGGAAACCCAGGCACTGGAGGTTACTATCCCAAGCAAGATATCTGAGCACATAAAGAGAGCTGGGATCTGAATACAAGCCATAGTTGTTCCAGAGACCGTGTTCTACGCCACAGTATAGGACCACTCCTCAATAGCCAGGAGGCTCCTAAGAAGCTCTTAAGTACCTCTGAATACATTTAAAAAACTGTCCCTGTTTGCCCCACTTGTGATGCTATTTATAGGTGACAGTTGATAGACTACTGGTACCTAAAAAACACAGTACTGTAAGGACATAGAGTTGTCTCGCTCATTGACCAGCATGGCACGTTTCCCCATGCAGATACATAGGAATGCACACTGGGAGATGGTGAGAAAGAAATAGCAGACTGTCTGGTTCTCTCCTTGCCCCTCGTTAGGTCAATGGGGTGACAGTTCATGGAGCCACGCCCCTCTTCAATGCTTGCTGCAGTGGCAGTGCTGCGTGTGTCAACGTGCTGCTGGAGTTTGGTGCCAAGGCCCAGCTCGAGGTGCATCTGGCCTCACCCATCCACGAAGCCGTGAAGAGAGGTAAATGAGGCATCACACCACACACAGAGCATTCAGGGGGCTCCCTTCTGTCTGCATGAATCAAGGGTAGAGTGTTCACCCTGCAAGGATCTCCCAGACCTTCTTCACCAGTAGACTAGGTGTGGCTTAGTTAATCCTACAGCAGTAACTTCAATAGGAAATAACACCGGGGAGTGACATAGCTTTTCTTAGAACTGGGAATGGCTGTCTGCCTCAGACGTCCCATTTCCTGGGCTCAGTCTCTCAGTCGGCCTTACTTGAGGCTCTTTGCTGGTGTTTGGGTGGGAGCTGGTGGAGTTAAGCATACAGGGGTAACTTCATGAGTTGTGCTGTGTTTCTGTCTCTGTCCTCACTAGAAAAGAACAGCTCATGCCCCAAAGTCCATAAAACATCAACCACGACCATAAAATTGATTGTGAAAGTGTCTGAAAGCCCAGACTAATCGTTTCTCTAATGGAAGATTAAAGGTGACTGTCCACAACAAGCAATATATTCTAGATGAGCTAATGGCTCTCACGGTCATTAGTTCTTGAAAAAAAGGCTCCAGCTTTAAAAAACATGCCATTGGAAACCTTGAATGGACTCTAGATTTCTATATTCTCATAGAAATGGTGGAAAGAGTAAAATTAAGGAATTAGAAAATGATGTGCAGAGACTTCCCTGGTGGTTTAGTGACTGAGACTCTGAGCTCCCAGTGCTGATGGCCTGAGTTCGATCCCTGGTCAGGGAGCTAGATCCATGTGCTGCAACTAAAGATTCTGCATGCCACAACTAAGACCTGATTCAGCCAAATAGATAACTATGTGCATAGACTAGACGTGAACAAGAAGAGCCATCAAAAGGCCAACACCATCTGACAGAGGTAACACCCAAAGAAGAACTTTTCTGTTAACCAGCAGTGCAGATGTTCTCTTATATTGAGATCAGAAATACAGCAGAGGGAGTTCACTGGTGGCATAGTGCTTAGGTGGCATCAGCTCTTCCACTGCTGGGGCCTGGCTTTGGTGCCTGGTCAGGGAACTGAGATCCTGCAAGCTGTGTAGTATAGCCAAAGTTTTTTAAAAGTTTTAATTAAAAAAAAAAGAAATACAATGGAAAAGTTAGAACACTGTAGAACAGTGATTTTTGCTGGTATAATGAGGATTAAAGTGTTTCAAAAGGCAATAGTGAAAGATTTTTCCTAGGTTGTTAAACCTGTCACTTGGTAAAATTATTATTATTATTATTTTTTTGCAGAGGATTACTATCAATGATAGGGCTTCCCAGGTGGCACAGTGGTAAAGAATCCTCTTGCAATGCCAGAGACTCAGTTTGATCCCTGGGCCAGGAAGAACCCCTGGAGAAGGAAGTGGCAACCCACTCCAGTATTCTTGCCTGGAAAATCCCATGGACAGAGGAGCCTGGTGGGCTACAGTTTATGGGATTGCAGAGTCAGACATGACTGAGCGCGTACACACACACACACTATAAATGGTACAGAATCCCTAAATCTCAATGCAAAATCTCTATGGTATTGATGTCCTGTACATATTTGATAAACATTTCTTAATTAATAATTGATGCTGATTATTTCCCAAACTTAAAGTAAGTCCTTTAAATTGTAGGGAAATAGTCTACTTTGGAAATGAAATAAAAGTGTTTAAAATGTCTTAAATTTTGATTCGAAGTAAAATTTAATCTGTTATTTGAATTTCCATCCAAAAGTTTTAAAATGGATGAATACTGGGAGTGGTTTGAAATAAGTAGTTCTGCAGTGTTTAGATGGTTATATATGGAGTGCTTGGTATCTATGTGTGTGACATATATATATATATACACACATATATATGCCTATCATAAACAATGAGTTCATCTGTCTCCTCACATTTTTTTCTTTGTCATAAAAACATGTTAGGGACCAATGTCCACAGAACAGAAGAGCAAATAGCAAATTTCTTATTCTAGATACTATATTAGTGCCAATCATTTGACTTTTATATAATCATTTTTAAAAATCTTCCTGAGAATACTTAAATTTAACTCAAGCTAGATTCAGTTTCTTCTGTTAAAAAAAAGGGACAGGAATTATTTCAAAATGTTTATTAGATGCACTGTATTTACCAGGCAGTTTTAGGTCCTGATTAGATATTATTTCTGAATTCCTACAGCTTTAAACCTCTACGAACAAGTGGAAGGGGGTGGTCAGTTTGAGTCAGTACTTTGACAGATTAATGCTATAATCCAGGTATAAAATTACTTAGTTGAACAAATAGATTTGAATTTGCTGAATCTTTATTTATAGGTTTTAACGCATAATTATGCTTAATTCAGACTTTGCGATAAATCAAGCAGGCTTGATGAAGCTTCCTTTTATGTCATCTATAAAGAAAAGGTTGGTTAAGCTAATCAACAATAAGATTTTTTTTTAAGGAAACATTTAAACCTTCAAAAAAGAACAACCTCTTTGTAAAACTCCCATCAATACCTCAGAAGCAATTGCTCCCAAACAGATCATTCATATGCTTCAAATTAATCATGTCTGTCTATTAATGGGGCCAACTCTCAAAGGATATTGCTTGTTATATAGTTCTTGTTAGCCACTAAACTTAGACACTAAAGTGCATTTGAATAGATTTTATACTTGAAGCTTTTTATTAATTCTCATAGGAGTCTTCCAGGTTAACCAAAATAAGGAGGTACATGGGATGGCCATCCACCTAATCTTACATGCATGGGCAAAGAAGAGAAGGAGAGATTTGTAATGGAGAGGGATGGGTCAGGGCTGGGCCTTGGATCTGAGCACTGGCTTTTCAGAGTAATAATGGCATGAGTCATTTGTCCCCCTGGGTCTTGTAGCCTCTGCCTGTAAACCAGGGACTTATTATAGAGAGTGATTTCATCTGTATTCCTTGGAACCCTTGGTTTGGTTGGAGGTACCTCAAAGGCTGTGAGGAAGAATTTCAGTGGGGGGTGCATGGGCATGCTCTTTTTTTTAATGGTTTTATTTTGGAAATTTCTAAGATTTCCCCCACTCCTAAAGTTTTTTTTGCTATTGAAAAGAAAATCTAGGTTGTTTCTAAAGCCCATTCCAGATAACCAATCTTATAATTCTGTGAATAGTTAATATTTTCCTTGCTTGAGTGAGGTTTTCTTGTGTTCTACCAGGTAATAGAGAGTGCATGGAGATTCTACTGGCAAATAACGTTAACATTGACCAAGAAGTGCCTCACCTCGGAACTCCCTTGTATGTGGCTTGCACCTACCAGAGACTTGACTGTGTGAAGAAGCTTCTAGAATTAGGTAACTTCCAGTAGTCTTTTCATGAGAAGAACTGAATAATCTTGCTTTTTCATGGCTTCAGAGACAAAGTTCTTGTCAGGCTGGACAAAATTCTGACAGCATTTGATGTTTCAGTGCTTGAAATGGAACTTCAGAAATGAGTATCTGTAGCTCTCAGTTGTGCTTCCTTTGATGTTGGCTCCATTTACCTGTTATGGTTCTCCTTGGTGGCCTCAAGGGAGAGCAAGAGTCTCTTTCCCATAAATCCAAGGGGAAAACAACCAGTTGTATTTAACTGGCTCTTTTTGAGTCACATGCCCATCTCTGAACCAATCATGGTGGCCAAGGGAATACCCTGACCAGATTGGCTTAGGCCTAGATTTCAGTCTGCACTGCAGTGGTTGAGCTTCACTGGAAACAGGAGCTGGGAATCACAGAAGATGGTTACCCAGAGGGAAATCTAGGTGTGGTTACCAGGAGGATCAGTTCAGTTCAGTTCAATTGCTCAGCTATGTCCGACTCTTTGCAACCCCATGGACTGCAGCATGCCAGGCTTCCCTGTCCATCACCAACTCCCAGAGCTTGCTCAAACTCATGTCCATTGAGTTGCTGATGCCATCAAACCATCTCCTCCTCTGTTGTCCCCTTCTCTTCCTGCCTTCCATCTTTCCCAGCATCAGGGTCTTTTCCAGTGAGTCAACTCTTCGCATCAGGTCGCCAAAGTATTGGAGCTTCAGCTTCAGCATCAGTCCTTCCAATGAGTATTCAGGACTGATTTCCTTTAGGGTGGACTGGTTGGATCTCCTTGCAGTCCAAGGGGCTCTCAAGAGTCTTCCCCAACACCACAGTTCAGAAGCATCAATTCTCCAGCACTCAGCCTTCTTTATGGTCCAACTCTCACATCTGTACATGACTGCTGGAGAAACCATAACTTTGACTAGACAGACCTTTGTTGGCAAAGTAATGTCTCTGCTTTTTAATATGCTGTCTAGTTTTGTCATAGCTTTTCTTCCAAGGAGCAAGCGTCTTTTAGCAGACACTTCCCATAGAATACTTTAGATCAACCCTGCTAAATTATTTAGTCGTTTTTAAATTCTCAAAGACATATACAGAAACTGAGAGTCCAAGGAAAAGTAAAAGGTCTTGAAACTTATTTGGTTAAAGGTTCCCTAAACTTAGCCACTGCCATAAAGGTACAGATTATAGTAAGAACCTTTAAATAGGAATTTTTTTCTCTGAGGTTTTTGTCTTTTTTTTTTTAATCCCTTATCATTTGCCAGTCCCTATATTAATTCATAAAACTTTTTTTGATTCCAGTTTCAATACTAAATACTTATTTACTATTAATCCCAGTGTAAGTACTAAGTAAACTTAGCTTGTCCTTTGCCGAAACACAAAATAGCTACTAAAAGGAGCTGCAAATATTTTATTTTGAATGTCACACAATTCCTATAAGAAAGCAGGTAAAGCATTTAAAATGACTAAAAATATCTTTTTTTTTTAAATTGACATCTTCATCTTTATTAGTTAATGACAAATTATTTTTCACACAGTTGTGCCAACCTGAACTAGCTAATCTTATGTGAAGTTTTGCCAATAGTTTACTACTAAAAATGCATCTTTTATTTTTCAACTTCTCGAACTATAACACACAGCAAGGCATGCATATGTGAAAATATGTAACTTAAAGTAATAAACAACTGCCATTGCAACCCAACCCATGAAAACATATAAAACATTGCAAAGACAAGTCCCCCTTGTGACATCTCCGCAAAACTATACCTTCCCCACATCCTTCAAAAAAGTTACTAACATCTTGTCCTTTATGGTAATGATTTCTTTCCTTTTCCTTTTAATTTTGCCACCTAAGTTCTAATTAATAATAAGAATTTTTAGTTAGATTACATATTTTAAATTTTGTATAACAGGCATCATATAATATGTTTAATATTGCACTGGCCATCTCTTGCTCAACTATATTTGTTTATGTTATTACAAGTAGCTGTAGTTGTTCAGTTTCATTGCTGAGTAATACATAATGTGTATCTATATAGTGCAGTGTCTTTATATATTCTACTATTGAGGCTTCCCAGGTGGCGCTAGTGGTAAAGAACCCCCCTGCCAATTCCGGAGACATGAGAGATGCAGGTTCAATCCCTGGGTCGGGAAGGTCCCCTGGAGAAGGACACACTGAGCGACCAATAAACACATACAATATCTGATATGAAGTGCTGGTCATAGGGTATGCAAATATCTGTTCATTATGAGATATTGTGTGTGTGTGCCAGTCGCTCAGTTGTGTCCAACTCTGCAAAAAGGAAAGATGAATGCAGAGTTCCAAAGAATAGCAAGGAGAGATAAGAAAGCCTTCCTTAGCAATCAATACAAAGAAATAGAGGAAAACAACAGAATGGGAAAGACTAGAGATCTCTTCAAGAAAATTAGAGATACCAAGGGAACATTTCATGCAAAGATGGGCTCAATAAAGTACAGAAATGGTATGGACCTAACAGAAGCAGAAGATAAGAAGAAGAGGTTGCAAGAATACACAGAAGAACTGTACAAAAAAAGATCTTCACGACCCAGATAATCACAAAGGTGTGATCACTCACCTAGAGCCAGACATCCTGGAATGTGAAGTCAAGTGGGCCTCAGGAGACATCACTACGAACAAAGCTAGTGGAGGTGATGGAATTCCAGTTGAGCTATTTTAAATCCTGAAAGATGATGCTGTGAAAGTGCTGTACTCAATATGCCAGAAAGTTTGGAAAACTCAGCAGTGGCCACACGACTGGATTCATTCTAATCCCAAAGAAAGGCAATGCCAAAGAATGCTCAAACTACCGCACAATTGCACCCATCTCACA